TGCCTTGAAAGTGCAAGGACCTGAATTCGATCCCTGGTACGAAAAAAAGAAAAGAAAAGAAAAATGAATACAACAAATAAAAATATACTAATCACAAGCAAAGAGATGATCCACATAAACTTCCCAGAGTGTTAAAAAGTCCGGCAACATGGGCTGAGGATTTAGCTCAGGGGCACCATACCTGAGTTTGATCCCTGGTGGTGGTGGGGTGGGGAGATTAAAAAAGTCCTGCACCATCAGAGAGGATCAATTCTTCCGACAAGTCCCAGAACCCAGCTTGTCCCTAGTTCAAGGAAAAGCAAATTGTGCGTAGAGATGACCCCACACCATCAGCCAAGTCACCCACAACAAAGCCCTGCTGTCAGCCTCGAGCCCGAGCTAGTTCTTAGAAAAACCAAGTTAATGTGAGCTTTCCCAGGCCTGCCTCCGGGCTCTGGTTTGTGAGCTCTGGAAAGCTCCCTGTGGTTGGTTTGAGTTCACAGGCAGTGTCACGGTTTCTGTCTAGATGTCCCCCGAGGGCCTCATGTGCTCACGGGCAGGGGCTTCTGGAAGAGGACGGACTGCCGGAGCTCATCTCGGACTTGCTGTTTGGAAATGGAGTTGGGTAGGGAGAGGGGTGTCACTGGCACCTTAGCCTAGAAGGGCTTCTCTCTCTTCCCGGCCCCTCAGCTTCTCTCTCAGCTCCCCAGATGCTGTGAGGTAAGCAGCTTTCCTTTTTGCCCAGGCCCTTCTGCCAGGCTGCTTCTCTCTGGAGCCAGCTGCCCATGCGAGGTCTGAACTTCTAAAAGCACGCACGTGGGAACCACAGCTCACTCACGGGCACACACTGTATCTCAGCTGCCCCCTTCAGGGTGCTGTGCCTCCTGAGGCTCCTCATCACCGAGGTCTCCAGTAGGATGGTGCTGCGGGTCCCCCAGATTCAGAGCTCCCAGTGGCTTCCCCTGCTGCTGCCTTCTCCTCGGCTCTCTGGTATCAGCTGCAGGCCTAGCTGCACAAGTCAGAGCCCTGGAAACCCCTCCTTCTCACCCGTCCTCTCTCCAGTCAGTTCAGTTTTACTTTCTCTCTCCTTTGCTTATTGTGAGAAAAAAAAAAATGCACACAAAATACAAGAATGATTACACAGTATAATCCCCTTACCCAGAGTTAGCAACTGTAAAATATTTGCTTCTGATTTTAATTAATCAATTAAGTTTTGCAGCACTGGGGATCAAACTCAGGACCCTTGCACTTACGAGGCAAGGGTGGTTGCCACTGAGCTAAAATCCCCAACCCTTGTGATTTTATTTTTCAAAACAAATAATTATCATGCCTGCCTTGTAAGAGCAAGGCCGAGTTGAATAGCCAGTTAAAAACAAACAAACAGACGGATAGGGGAAGGGTAAAAAGGGAAAAGAAAAAAATGTGAGATAATGAAAAGATGGAAATAAAGTGGTGGTAGATGGGGCGGGTTTATTGACACTGGGTGTGTGTAAGTGCTCTGTGCTGGGGACTGAATCGAGCTGCGTGTGCCAGAGAAGTACTCTTCCATGCTACATCCCAAACGGGCACTGCGTTAGTAAGTGGAAACATACACAGTAACTCTTTAATGTGCAATCTGAGAAATGAGTGAGATACTTTACATCCTTTTTGTTACAACTCTCCCAAGTCCAGTGTATAGGTTATACTGCAGCAAAGCCAGTCAGCCTAAACTGGTTTCCCCTGCTCCAGAGCCGCACAGCAGGGCTCTGAGGTATTCATTTGCTGGCTGGATCTAGCGGTGTGTGTGTGTGTGTGTGTGTGTGTGTGCGCGCGCGCGTGTGTACGGGGGCAGGGTGTCCAACTCGAGTCCTTGCGCTTAGGAGGCAGGCAGTGGAACCGCTGAGCTAAATCTCTGGCCCAGAACCAGGACTTTGAGGCTGGCACTGCTGCCAGGTTTGGGTCTTGCTGGAGCAATCCAAGCCTCTTTTCACCACGTGTGAGCTGGGTGGCCTCCGCTAAAGTGTTTGTGCTTTAATGCTGGAGTTAAGCCTTACAACAACCTAGAGATCAAGGAGAGATTCTGAGACCTTCATAGGTCATTGCTTCAAGGTCACACGGGGCATAAGAACATAGGTCCGTGTGAACCCCCAAATGTGGGCTTATAACCCCGAAGGGCAATTTAATCTCGAATGGTTTTGAGCAGAGAGCTGAGTGATTCCTGTATTGCCCCGAGGACGTTCGCCAGCCTTTCTCAGCCTCCACTTCCTCACCAGGAGGACCGCAATCCTGGTAGAGTGCTCTGGAGGGACCTGTGGCGGCGATCCCAGGTCACCCGAGCCCGGTGGGTGACGATTCTGGAGCCCAGACAGCGCGGCACAGAGCTTCCTCCCTGGTAGCACAGAAGTTGGTGGCGGCCGCAGCCCAGCGGGACGTAGGGGAGGAGCCGGCCCTTCCCAGCCGGGTCACTGAGGTTCAACTCCCGTACCATCCCCCAGATCGCCCGCAGAACCTGCTGGGGAGACCCTGAGAGCATTGCACAGCCTTGCCCGGCTCGGAACAGCTGTTGGACATTTCTCCTAAACTCCTGTGCGCTCGGCAAGGGGCAGTCAGAGCCAGCTGCATAATTTTTGCAGCCCAGTGAAAAATGGAAATGTGCTGCCCTTCATTCAGATCTTTTTTTTTTTTTTTTTTTTTAAACCTGGGAAGGAACTGGAGACCTTGGGCTTGCAAGGCTGGAGGCAGAACCACTGATCTAAATCCCCGGCTCATTCAGAAAATTTTAAGGCAAGAGGATCACACGTTCAAAACCAGCCTGGACCACAGTGACACCTTGTCTCAAAAAAACGATAAGTATTTTGCAGTGCTACAGACAGAGCTCAGGGCACCTGCGTGCAAAAGCGCTCTACCACTGAGTCACACCCCTGGCTCCTCAAAAATTATTGAAAATTTCAAAAGGTCCCAGCCATCAAAGCAAGTGTGGGTCCTGCTGCTGCCCCACAAGCTGACCCTGGATAGTGACCACCCCTCAGCCAGGCCACGTCGGGCAAATCCACTCTTACCGAAGGCCAGATCAGGGAGCACTCCTAGAGAAACCTTCGCTTCCCACAGCGCTGGAGCCTGGTGGAGGGTGGAGACAGTGTGCAGTCTTGCATTCAGGAAAGCTGGAACCGAGCATAGGGGATGCAGAGCACTGCCAGGACAGGGGCCTCTGCCTGGTCAGTATCTCCAGGTCTATTTTCTCCCATGTAAATTCATAATAATTGTATCAATCTGAGAGTGTTGTTGAGGCTAAAGAAAACATGTGACTTACACCAGACCCCTGGGCAGTGGAAGGGCACAATATTGGCCATCATCACTTAGCCCTCAGTTCCAGCCCTGCCTTTGCGTTCAGGAGGATGAGACCAGTTCTGGGCTTTCTGCAGGACCTTGTCGGCTCCCCAAGCTCGAGGCTCAGCGATCGAGGCTCGCTTTTCTATACCCTTGGGCAGCACACCTGGTCTTCCAGGAAGGCACCCCTGGCCCTTCCTGGGTAAGGTGTCCCCTCCTGTTTCCATGAAGTCAAGATGTATTCGTCGTGGCATTTTAACACCCTGTATTGTCCGGTTGGTTCTACCCTCCTGTGCCTCCCAATCTAGCCCTGCTGGCCTCTCTTGTCTCCCCACTTTGGACCCCTACAGCTGCCCGAACAAGGGAGGGGTGACCCTAAGAACAAGTTGTCATCACTCTTCTCAAACCTTCCTGATGTATCTCATCCCAGAACAGAACCCAAAGTCCTTAGCTTGCCCAGGAAGATCTCTGGGACCCTGCTGCTGTTCTCCTTAGGGCACCAGGCACATGGCTTCCTGTAGATTCTTCCACTCTAAGCTCACTTACCTCTGGGCCTTTGCACTTGCCACGCCCTCTGCCTGGAAGACCCTTCATCTACTGCCCTCATTTGATCCTCGTCAAAACCCCAAACAGGTACAATTATTCTCCTTATTTTTCAGATGACAGAGCGAGCTCAATGCTCCCTGAGGTTTCCCTTCACCTTACCTGTAAGAACTCCTCACCTCCGCTCCAGCTCCTCACCCCATCCCATCTCCTTCCTAACACTCTATATTTTTTATTTATTGTGCTCCCCCCTCCAGAATGTAAGTGCATAAAGACTGGGGTTTGTCTCTTCTCACTCTTGCGCCTGGCACATGGTTGTGGGTGGCACTGAGGACTTACTGAGGTAATGAGTGAATGACGCTATGTCTGTCTTGCCCCAGACTGAGTTCCCTGAGTATGAGGCCAGCACCATAGTCATCTGTGTGCCTCTCGGGGTAAATGTCCAATGTGTTTGTCAAGAGAATCAAAAAAGTATGCAGAGCCCCAGAATAAGTGGAGCCAAAAGTTAATGATGTTAAAAATGCAGATATTTTAAAATGTTTATTCTTATATTTTACATCGAGCGGTTCACGAAAGTAATTACAATGATTTCAAAATGCAATCATACTGAACCAAGGAATTCAATTCACGGCCTTCATAATTATACTTAATTGATACCTAGGAATGCAAGTAGACACTAAGCTAGCTAGTGAGTAAAATAGCTGCGTATAAATCTCAGTCACAGGTATGCAATCGGGTCACTGTCACCGTGTTAGTAACATGATTCACATTCATTTCTATCACATACACATCCATTTCAAATGCTAACAACATAAAACTATAATCTTTGTTACCTTAAAAGTTCAATTTAAAAATATGAAGAAATTGAAGAAGAAAATTTCAGGACTCTTGATCAGAAGCTTTCAGTGCATATGATACTACTTTGGTGTCAACAAAGGTTCAAGGAAGGGTAGGAAAGAAGAGGAAAGAAAAATGGAAACAAAGCTTTTGTGAATAAAGATGGGGAGGACTGGGGATTTAGCTCAGTGGCTCCGCTGTCTGCCTCGCAAGCACAAGGACCTGAGTTTGATCCCCGGTACCAAAAAAACAAAAGAAAGAGGGGAAAAGGGTTGAAGGGAGGGGAGGGGAGGGAATGAGAAAAAAAGTAGCAGCAAAATATATCATGTACGGGTACAAATTCCCTATAATGTTATCATTATATATCTAAAATATACTAGTAAAACAAAGGGGAAAAAAAAACCCTGCAAGAGTACTTTCTTTACCAGCTGAGGACCTGTTCTAAGAAAGGAGCTGGCTTTCCGCAGAACTTAGCTAAGCTGTTGAGATGTCCCAGTTATGGACTCCTGAGGTTAGCAACTGACCGCCTTTAGAAGGCCTTGGCCAGTGTTACAAAAACAAAACACTTAAGAGGAATATTTGTAAGTGCGAGCACAACTGGGCTCCTGCCTTCTATAAATCATCATGTGTGGATGCCTAAGGGCCCCTAGCTGCGGCTCTTCTTAGGCTGGAGAAGCTGGAGGTGCACAGGGAGCTCTCTACTGATGGACCTTCTCAAAGTATTCTTTGGAAGCTGTTGGACTTGGCTTGATCTGAAAATAAAATACAGTAACATTTAATGGGTAATGATGACTTTATAAAAAGTTTCAAATTTGAGTTAAAAAGTTCTCAATTTTTAATCTAAAATTTTTTTTTCTTTTTTCAAGATTGGTCTGTTTCCTTCCGAACACACCAGTGAAAGCTAGCTAACAGCCTGCCTGGTCGCTGGCTCTCCCACTGAGCCCCGGGGCTGCACCCATCTGCATACAACCTTGAGGCAGAGGACCCAGGACCCTGGGGTGCTCTGGGGAAAAAAACCTACTGTAGGGGAATCTGGTGTCCAGTTTGCTGGGCAGACTTCTCCATGGGTTTCCACAAACTGGAATGCCTTCACCAAGCGGAGGGTCTCTTCCACACTTCGGCCCACGGGGAGATCGTTGACACTCAGATGCTTGATAACACCATTGGGGTCGATGATGAAGAGGCCTCTGTGTCAGGATTCATCCACATTAGTACCTCCCAGTGCCAGAATTAACAGGCCAAGCTCTACTCTTTTGTCTTTCATTTTCCTTTTAATAAAATGTTTATTAAATGTGGTTGTGTGCTTAAAATGGGGGTTTTCATTGTTGTACGAAACGCTTCTCATCTCTTATTAATGACAGATGCCTTCATAATGGCAGGACTGGACCGGGCCACCATGGAAAACCGAGTGTGGTCCAATTTGCAAATACATCACTGTGTCCTGAATGTCATACACAGCATCTGAAGGCCATAGGCTAGAGGGTGTGAAGGCTTCTTCACTCACTAGAGATAAAGAGGTATTAAATGAATGGATCCTTGGGTAAGTGGGGGGGAAATCCCAGGGGAAAGGTGCAGGAAGAATACGCAGCCCTAAGCCCACAAGAGCTCTTCATTCTTGACCCGTAACAGTCCACCTTGGAAGAGTGTGAGAACTCCAAGTGTTAATCATGCGTGGAAAAAGCAAGTTAAGGAACAGTCAAGGCAAAAAAGGGCCTTCTCCCTCTCCCTAAGCCTGGGATCGGGGTCCAGCCCCCACTCTTCTTTTCTTTTTGCAGTACTGGGCATTGAACCCAGGGAGTGCTGAGCTATATCCCAAGGCTCCTCCTCCCACTTTTTTTTTCTTTTTTTTAAAGACAGGGTCTCAGTAAATTGCCCAATCTGACCTCAAACATGCAATTCTCCTGCCTCATCATCCCAAGCAGCTGGGGTCACAGGCGCACGGCACCACGCCTGGTTGGAGGCCTAGGCCTTGAGGCTGAGCTGGCCCTGCTGCCCGCTCCTACAAGGGGAGTCGGGAAGGAGAGGAAGAGCTGGGAATGAGCAGAGCGCAGACTCCAGACAGGGACCAAATGCCAGCCTGACCACTCTCTCGTTAAGCCCAACACTGAAAACGGCACGGGGACTGCAAATCAGTCAGACCCCAACCAGGAACAGAACCCTGGAGGAGGAGCAGCCCGCATTCTTTCTCCCGCTGCTGCCAACTCCGAGGGAGTGGGGCTGTGCTTCAGGAAAGGAAGATGGTGTCTCCTCAAGGTGATAAAGGCCTGCCGAGCTCCGAGGGCCGCCCAGCACTGAGACCCCAGGTGTAACTCACGAGGGGGCAGGGGGCAGAGGACGGCGAGGACAGAGCAGGGAGCTGGGAGCACCTCAAGGTGGGGCCCTCTCTCCCTGAGGCTGAGTCCTGCTCCCCCGATTTCTGTTCACAGCTCATTCCTGTCCCTTGAGGGAAGGCTCCAAGAGACTAAAAGCTTTTCACACTCAGAAGAGACCGCAACACTTTATCCACAGAGTGACCGAGGGTGAGAAGACATTATTCTGAGACAGAGCAACTCCAGCTGCCACTCCTGTTTAGTCCTCACCACCAACCTGGGAGGTATTCTTCATGTCAGTTATGGGAAACCTCGGGCTCAGAGAGGTAAACAACTGCCCAAAGTCACACAGCACACAGCTATTAAGTAACTGAGATCAAAAGAAAAAAAAAAAATCACACTCAAGTCTGACTGATTTCAGGGCTTGTAGATGATGGCTGCCAGTCCGGGGCACAGCTTCTTACCCTGGGAGAGACTTCTCTAAGCAGTCTGATGCCAGGGCAGGCCCTAGGGAAAGGGGCCCAAGGGCAAGAGAGAATGGAGCAGTGTGACTGTAAGACCCGGCTGGTCAGCTGAGCATACAGCTTTGGCCCTCCCTCCCTCTCTTTTCTTTTTTGTGGTGCTAAGGATTGAACATAGGTCATTTTCACTGAGCTACAGCCCCAGCCCTTTCTTTATTTTTTATGTAGAGACAGGGTCTTGCTAAGTCACTCAGGCTGAGCTCAAACTTGGCACCCAGCCTCAGCCTCCCAGAGTTACAGGTGTGTACTTCCATGCCAGGCTGGGCTATTTCTGAAAATCTGCCAGCCTTTCAGAAGGCATTTCATCAGAGCTTATACAAGCTAAAATTAGGGATTTTTTGTTTTCAAATGTATTACCAAGCCAGGTATGGTGGTACATGCCTGTATTCCCAGCACCTGTGAGACCGAGGCAGGAGAATCGCTGCAAGTTTGAGGCCAGCTGGGTTACACAGTGTTCAAGGCCAGCCTGAACTACACAACAAGAACCTGTCGATCCTGTCAATCAATCAATCAATCAATCATTCAATCAATGCATGTTTTACCAAACCAAAACAAACTTTTTTTTTTAACCAGGAATCAAACTTGGGACCTTGAGCTTGTGAGGCAGGTGGTTGTGCCACTGAGCTAAATCCCCAGCCAAACAAATGAATTTTTTAAAATTTAAAAAGACAGGGCTGGGGATTTAGCTCAGTGGTTCTGCCGTCACGTGCCTCGCAAGCGCAAGGACCTGAGTTTGATCCCTGGTACCAAAAAAATTAAAGGACAAGCCGGTTATGGTGGCACATGCCTGTAATCCCAGCATTTGGGAGGCTGAAGCAAGAGGATCGCTGTGAGTTTGAGACCAGTTTGGGCTACACAGTGAGTTCCAAGTCAGTCTCAAGTACATAGTGAGACCCTGTCTCAAAAAAAAAAAAAAAAAAAAAAAGACCCAAAAATGTAATCGGACAAAATAATTAGAAAAACAACACACACAAAATAATTAGAAAAACAACATCAGCAACTAAAAAAGTGCTTTACCAAGGTCTATATATTTCCTGAGAAGTAGCATAAGGAATAGGCTCTTACCTGAGTGCAATACCAGGACCTTCCAACAGTACACCGTAGTCCTGGGAAATCTGTTTAGTTAAATCCGACAAAAGGGCTATGTTCATGTGGCCCAAACCGCCGTTCTATGAAAATACAAACATGACTAATTATTGGTGCTGCTTTCATAATTTTTTCTTGTGGTAGTGGTGCTGGGGATTGAGCTCAGGACTGTGGACATGCTGGGCAAGTACTCTACCACTGAGTCACATCCCAAACCCTTTTTCTTTTAGTAATGCTAGAGATTGAACCCACGGCCTCATGCATTCCAGAGAAGCACTTTACCTCCCCAGCCCCTTTTCAAAAATTTGAGACAGGGTTTTGCTAAATTGCCCAGATTGGCTTTGAACTTTCCATCCTGCTGCCTGGGCCTCCTGAGCAGCTGGGATTAGAGTCTGCACCACTAGCCTGGGTCTGGCAACATTCTTGACGATGTTACAATGGGTTTTTTGGTACCGGGGATAAAACTCAGGACCTTGCGCTGGTGAGGCAGGTGGCAGAACCACTGAGCTAAATCCCAGGCGATGTTACAATGTTGGAGACCAATAATAATGGCAACATGGTAACAGTAACTGAACACAAGTGAATTCTGTTAACTCACACACCCCTCCACAACTATTTTGGAGTAGAAACTAATACCACAGCCATTTTACAGATAAGGAAACCCTGGCACATAAAAGTTAATTATCTTTCTTCAGGTCACAGCTAGAAAGGTGAAGAGGCAGGATTTGAAGCCAGTTGACATTTTAGATAATTTTTTTTTTTTAAAAAAAGGGTCTCACTATGTAGTTCAAGATGGCCCTGAACTCACTATGTAACCCAGGCTGGCCTTGAACTTACAGTGATCCTCCTGTCTCATTTTTTTTTTCTAATTCTTAAAGCATTCTTTGAATTGAAGACTAAATGCAAGAGTAATAAACACTGAATAAGTCTATATTGATAGTCCCGCAGCACGGCTAGAAGTTTTGATTTTTTTCCAAGCAAATTTCTAGGCCATACAGATCACACAGAATAGGGAAATCACATCCCACAAGACACCCAAGTGCATGGGATCTAGAATGTGAGTGCTAGGGGAGGTAATGGACTCCAGCTGTCCCTTGCTCTGCTGAGTCGGTCTCCTCTACGACTGCACCTTGGAAAATGAAAGGTAGTAGGCAGTCACTGTGCCTGCAATGTTAAGAGAAACAGAGCAACAGATTGCCAGTAGGTAAGTAGCTATAAATAGCCCATTTTGAACTGGCCATGCTTGGACAACTTCTAGCAGTCATTTCTATTGGATCGTAAGCATGTGCAGAGGGGTGGGAGGTGCTGATGGGGAATGCGTGCCTGCTGGTCGGTGGGTAGGAGGTTATAGTTCCATAGGAAGAATGACTTATGGTGTTCTAATAAGCAGCAAGGTAACTACCGTCATTATATTGTGTATTTCAAGCTAACTAAAAGAAAGGATTGTAAATGTCCTCCCCACCAAGGAATACTAAACATTAGAGGGGATGGGTATGTTCATTGGCCTGATTTGATCATTCCATAATATACACACACCCTGTCAATACATACCGTACATTTCTACTGTGTATGACATGACATTTGTCAGGAAAGAGCAGAGTGCAGGGAAGGGGTGGGTGATGATACCTTCCTGGGCGTATTGATCCAGGCAAGATGAGTAAAGTGGGAATCCACTGAGACTGCGACAACTTCACAGTTCACATCGTGAAACTCTTTGGCTTTGTCACTAAAAGCAACAATTTCTGTGGGACACACAAAGGTGCTTGGAAAAAAAGAAGCGGGGAGTTTGATCAGAATACAGAAAGAGGAATTTAAAATGAGAACAAGACATTGCCTAAGAACTTGTCTTATTATCCGTACTTTTCTTGTTTTTCGCCAGACTAGTGAAGACTTCAGAGACAGCTTTGGGAACACTTCTCCCACGCACAGGAGACAGAGTGAGATTGAGATTGAGATCCAGCCACAGCGAAACTCTACTCTACCTTAATCCTCGGGCGAACAGGGTCAGATAGGGCCATCAGGGCGTGCGTCACCTCGGACTCTGCCTGCCTAAGGTGACGTCACTAGGGATGGCGCCTCGTGAGCCCCCAGAACTATAAGCCAAAGTAAACTTCCTTTCATTGAAAAAGAGAAGAAAACTGCCCTTGAAAGGGGTGCTCCCCCCAATTCAGGTTGGATTTTTGAATCAGCTGTGAAGGAGTCAGAAAGAAGCCAGCACAAAAGCACCACAGAAATGACACTTACAAGTCCAGAGGATAGAAGAAAAGCACCAGATATTTGCCCCTAAAGTCTTCAAGGCTTAGCTCTTTGAATTCGCCATTGACAACAGCTGTGCCCTTAAAGGAGGGTGCATGCTGGGTGACGGCAGGAGCACAGCAGGAAGAACCTAGAAAAAACCCGCACTGGTATGTAGTTCATCATTCACAGCATCAAGAACCCATTAGCTTTTTAAAAACTTCTCATAAATGTATAGAATTCACAATATGCATTATTTCCTAGCAGAAATCAATGAAAAAATATTCCTGGGGTCAATCCCAAGTATTGCAAAAAATATTTTTTTAAAAAAGAACAAAACACCCCAAAAGGAACAGTAATTTTTCTTTCTACAATTCTAAATTGTACACAAATTTAATTCAGAGTGAAAAAATTTAAGAAAAGAAAGAAAAGCAAAAATAAATAAAAGAAGTGCTAAAGTAGCTGGTGGCACACACCTGTAATTTCAGCACCTGGGAGGCTGAAGCAGGAAGACAGCTGTGAGTTCGCAGCCAGCCTGGACTACACAGTGAGGTTAAGGCCACCTTGAACTACATAGTGACACCCGTCTCAAACAACAACAAAAAAAGTGCCATGGAAACTAAAAAGAGGAAGACAGGGCTGGGGATTTAGCTCAGTGGTTCCGCTGCCTGCCTTGCAAGTGCAAGGTCCGAGTTTAATCCCCGGTACCAACAAAAAAGGAAGACAGAGTAAGAATGGAATTGCGATGCATTTAAGGAATCCATAAGACTTGGAAAAGGGTCTCACTATTTAGTTGAGGCTGGCCTTGAACTCATGGTGATCCTCCCGCCTCAGACTCCCAAGTGCTGTGATTACAGATGTGCATCACCACCCGCAGCCAGAGGTGGATTTTAAATATGGTTAGATTTTGTCAGGTCTACACAGGACAGGTCAAAGGGAAGAAGAATGGTGGGAGGAGCGGTCAGAGGAAGGAACATGGTGCATACACACAGCTTGATTATAATAGAGTCAAGGGCTATGGGAGGGGCGGAGAGCAGGGCACACACCGAGAGAGGCCCAAGGCAGGCCAAGCCTGCCCTTCAGTATCAGGCAGCTGAGTCTGGTCTTTGAGAGAGAGATTACAGGGAGTCAGGGGGGGCTTTTCGGTGGGGTGCACAGAGGAGACAGCTGTTTTCAGGAAGATTAGTCTGGAAGTAGAGTAAGAGTCATTAGGTGGTCACTTCCGTTATCTCAATGAGAGGGACTGAGGTATGGCAGAGAGAATAAGAAAAAAACATAAAAAGGAGAGCTGGGGATGCAGCTCAATGGGACAGCACAGACCTAGCATGCACGAGGCCCTGAGTTCAATCCCCAGCAAAACAAACAAAACCCAACTGGAGAGGACTTGTTTGCTTCTACTTAGGATGAAGGAAAAGTGCCAAACTGTCTAGGACAGATAGAGAGCTCTTGTAGGTGGGAGCCTGGGACCAGTGGAGGAAAGTCTGAAGCCCATGACACCAATTCATTATCGAAAATAATTGTAAAATTGTGCCATTTTTAAAGAACATTCCACCAAAAAACCCCATAGTATATGCCCTTATACCATATGCATTAAATACAGTACATGCTTTCCAAATGTAAGGCAAATCTAAGAGACATTTAAGCACCACTGGTATCTGAGGTTGATCTTGGCAAAGCTGCAGCCAAGACAATGGAGCAGAAAGCTCAAGAAATGGCTAAGCTTGTTCCGATCACCAAGACCACCACTGGACCCTCAATGGAAAGGGGTAAAGTTCTAACAAAGAAATCTGACATAGACAACAGCATTTGCCACAGTGGTTCTCAACCTTGGCTTCACAGAATTACCCAGTGAGCTTTAATTTTTTTTCATTAGTACAGCGTATGTTTGAAATACATAATAAATGCACCCACTATAAATAACTGGGACACACATATCACATCCTGAGCCTTTTTACTTCCCCTTCCTCTCATCTTCCTCCATCCCCAGATCTCTTTTAAAAATACTGAAGTCCTTGTCTCATTCCAGAGACAGACTTTCGTCTGGAGCTGAGACTGTGTTTCTATTTATTTATTTTATCCGGTTGTCTGTCTTTTTATTCTTCCTTGGTTTTTCTTTTGTTTTTTGTTTTTTTTTTGTGGTACTGGGGATTGAAGCCAGGGCCTTCACACTGAGCTACATCCCCAGCCCTTTTTGATTTCTATTTTTTGTACTGAGACAAGTTCTCACTAAGTCGCTTAGTTAGCCAGGCTGAGCTCAAATTCATGATCTTCCTGCCTCAGCCTCCTAAAGTACTGGAGTGATAGGTGTACTGCCATAATGCCCAGGTGAGTTGTAATTCTTTAAATGTTTTAGATAATAATCCCTTTGTTAAATATATATGTTACCGGTATTTTCTCCTAGGCTATAGCTTGTCTATTCATTTTCTTCTTCATGTTTTCCAATGGGTAGATCCTAAAGTTTTGGTAAGGTCAACTGATTACCATCCAGAGACAACAACCCATGGAGCTGCAATTTCCCTACATCTTCATGCTGCTTTTGAAAACTCTGTGGATTGTTTAATGTACAGCCAGGGTTCAGAGCTACAGTCCTACCCAGCAATGATGCATTATGTTCCCTTTACTCAAGTCCAATCATGGCTAACACTTACTGGTGCTGAAGGCGAATTTGGCTTGAGGAGTCCCTGACCACAGGATACTTGTCAAGCCTGTTCTTCTAGGAGCAAGAGGTCCAACAGCTGCAGAGGCAGAAACGCCCCGACAAATTGTGCTCACATGTCGAGCAACCTGGGAAGAAAATACTTTATATTAGGAAGGGTAACTGTAGGCTGGCCCTGCTGAAAGGATACTGTGCCAATGGTGGCCTAAGCTGTCCTTGTCCCTGTGAAGCAAATACCAAACCCAACAACTCCAAGAGCATGGATTGAGTTTTCACGTTCTTAACGTTCTTTTCTGCTTCTTTCACTTTCTGAACTGCAAAGCAGTAAAACTAGACTCAAGAACCAAAAACTCCATGCTCTTAATAGTTACACAAAGGGATTACAAAGTCAGGGAGCCTTTGTCGGGCCCTGAGTGTCTGAGCCCTTTCCCTGTGTTATCTGCTGCGTGCATTCTACCATGGCAAGGTTTTCCTCAGAAAAGACAAGGCCCTTCCAGCCCCACAGATAAGCAAACAAGTAGAGCAAAGTTCAGCCTCTGGAAAAGTCTGGACAGGGTTCAAGGGAAACGCTTGCTCAACCTTCATGTCCAGCATGACGCAGGAAGGAGAAAGGGCCTGCTGTGAACGCTTCGATGAGCAAGGAGGGAAGGGGGGGCAGGGCACCAAGAGGGCTCCGGGTTGCGCCCTGAGGAAAGCAGGTAACTGCGGCGCCGGGAGAGGGGGTGGGAGGAGAAAGTGGCTTTCGTTACTGTAACACTTTGTTTCCACCCAGCATTTAACAGGCTGCCTACAGCAAGGCCTCCCTGCAGGGCCGCATCACTCCTAACATCCTCAAGAAAGGAAAGGAAGCCGAGGTGTAAGTCAATTGTCCAAGGTCATAGAGTCGTTGACAGAAAGGGGACCAGGACGCCTCCCTCCAGCGCCAGGACCAGGTTCTTGGGTGCAGATGGGGCTAGGGACCCGCGACTCGGAGCACCAGGGATTCTGGATGGACCCTAAGCGGGGGTTGGGGATGCGGGGGGATGGGGGATGGGGGATGGGAAGGAACGGACGGGCGGCGCACGCGCAGGGAGCCTTCCTTAGAGGAGGAGGAGGCCTCTGGGTCTGTTGGCCGATGCCACCTTCCAAGAGGGAGACGGGGACCCTGGAGAGCTCGATCCTCTCTGGGAAGCAGTTCAGGAGCCACCGCAGTTGGGTCTGTTGGCCGATGCCACCTTCCAAGAGGGAGACGGGGACCCTGGAGAGCTCGATCCTCTCTGGGAAGCAGTTCAGGAGCCACCGCAGTGTCTCCGCGCCTGACCCTACCCGCTTCTACTCACCGAGGCCCGGAGAAACCTTCCAGCTGCAGCCGCCATCTTCCGAGCACTCGGAGCCGCGGGGTGGGCGGGGCCTTGGAGGGCGGGGCCTCGGCCTGAGGGGCGGGGCCGGGAGGAGCCACCGCCTTGCTGCCTTTTTTGGGACACGAGGGGACTTTCACTCTTCAGAGTGGCTGAACGCTCTTATCTTCCTTTAGGTTGTCGCCCTAACCTAAAAAGAACTAAGGCAGGCAGGGAAGTGGATATTTATTCCCATATTCCGTGCGATTTTTATTCTTAAATTAGCCTTTTGTGGATTACTGCTTCTATTTTGTTTGTGAAAGGATCCATTTCCTATTTCGGCCTCAGGAAATGACTTTTGGCTTCTATGTGAAATTGAATTAATTTTTTTTCCCCGGTACTTCGGATTGAACCCAGGGCCTCACACTGAGCTACATCCCCAGCCCTTTATTTTTTTATTTTTGTTTTGAGACAATCTCTTTGAATGGCTAAATTGCCGGGGTTGGATTCAAACTCGAAATCCTCCTGCCTCAACCTCCCAGAGTGCTGGGATTACAGATGTGCGCCACCACACCTGGCTGAAATTGAATTAATTAACTCAATTTCAGTCAATTAATAAGCAAAGTGGAGCCGGGCGTGGTGGCACATGCCTGTAATCCCAGCACTCAGGAGGCTGAGGCAGGAGGATCGCTGTGAGTTCGAGACGAGCCTGGACTACATAGTGAGTTCCAGGTCAGTCTCAACTACATAGTGAGTAAAAAAAAAAAAAAAAAAAAAAAAAAAAAAAAAAAAAAAAAAAAAAAAAACCAAAGTGGCTTAGATACTTCAAAAGCTTGATTGTCTGAAAGCCTTTGGAATTGTGTACATGTGAGAGGGATTTCATTTTGGTCTCTTCCCCAAACTGGGAGACTAGAGACAAATTTTAAAAATTCCTTTTGTCAATTAAAGAAAAGTGCTCAGCTGGGGATTTAGCTCAGTGATTCTACCACCTCCCCTCTAAGCCCAAGGTCCCAAGTTTGATCCCCAGTAGCAAAAAAAAAAAGTGCTCAGTGGTGAACACAGTGCATCAACCATAGATAAAAACCACACAGTGGCTTCCTGATAAATGACAAACTGTAGTTTCTAAATCTTTTGTTTTCTAAACATCCATTATTACATTACAAACTTAGTTTCTCAAATCTGCATCATATCACCTGAGTATTATTTACTATTTACTTTAAGCTAACTCACTTGTGAAAAACTGAAATAACCCAGGAGTGGTTGTATACACCTGTAACCGGGCTACCCAGGAGCCTGAGCCAGGAAGATTTCAAGTCTGAGGCCAGCTTGAGCAATATAGCTCTTAAAATAAAAAATCAAAGGGGACTAGGGGTGCAGCTTAGTGATGGAGCACTGCTTGGTTCAACCATAGTACCACACACACACACACACACACACACACACACACACACACACACAAACACACACACGCATACATGCATGTGCAAAGCAAATTAACTTATTTGAAGGAAAATGTTAAATCACTTAAGTGGAAAAACCTTATACAACTTACTACACATAGAAAGTCATTTAAAAATAAATATATTACACTAAAATGTTATAAAGTTCCAGCTAGATACAGTTGTCTGCTGAAAGTCTGAACTTTTTGTTAAAAAGGGAGAATAACAGAGGTGGTCAGGGAACTGGTACCCTCATATAAACCCTGCTGGTGGGTATAATCAGGACAAAAGAGAATTAGAAGGACAATCTTCTCATGGGCTGGTGTGTAGCTCAGTGGTAGATCACTTGACTGCATGCACAAGGCCCTGGGTTTGATCCCCAGTGCACACATGCACGCGCACACACACACACACACACACACACACACCACAAACAAACAAAAAAACCCCACACTTTTCTCACCTTGAGATTTGAAGTGGTTTATTTTTATTCCCTACTCCCCAAGCAATGTATTCCCTAAATCTATCTCAGGTACCACCAAATACCACCCTTCGTCCCTGCCCACTGCTTTGGAAAGAACTGCCTTAGGTGAAAGGGGACAAGTTTTCAACCATTTTTCCTCAGCAAGTGCCTTACGCTTAACTGGTGCTTGGTATGGATGTGTTGAGCAGATGATTAAAAATAAAAGGGCATCATGCAGTTGGAGCACAAAATCATGCAGTAGTCTATAATTGAATATTATCTGGCCATTAAAAAGGAATGAAATACAGACAAATACTAGAACTTAGTGACCTTGAAAACATTTGTAAATGAAAAAAGCCAGACAGGAAAGGTAGTTTCTGATAGTTATTTGTGTTTTTTTTTGTTGTTGTTGTTTTATTTTGTTTTGTCGTTTTTTGAGACAGTGTCTCACTATATAGTTTAGGCTAGCCTTGAACTCACAGCAGTCCTCCTGCCTCAGCCTCCCGAGTGCTGGGATTACAGGTGTGCAACACTATGCCCAGCTCTGACAGTTACACAAGATGTCATATTCAGTAATTTGTTACTTCCTTCCTTTGGCATTTATTCAGTGATGGTTAAGTAGGAAGCATAGTTAGGCAGCAGGGGAGACCACAGGGATGAGTAAGACATGCAAGACCTTCCTTTGAAACAGCATCTGGGCTCTTATGACCAGCCAGTCACACATACAAGAATGTGGAATAGAAGTACAGACTGGGCTAAGAAGGATGTTTTGACCTGTTTGGATCCAACTCGGACAAAATCTCCTATCAACTACCACTTTCACTCCCCATGGAGGGTGTGTAAATTGGCACAGCCTTTCTGGGAAGCATCTTGACAATATGGGCGGAAACTCAGAGAAATCGGATGTGGTGAGCATATATGATCTGAACACTGGGGGGCGAAGGCAAGAAGACAGGCAAGTTCAAAACCAACCCGGGCACTGAACATGTTGACTTGGTGTGAAATAAAGTAAAATAAAGGGCTGAGAATGTAGCTTAGCGTGAAGCTATTGAGCTCAATTTTCAGTGCCATTAGAAAAAAATCATAAACACTGTCACAATACTCATAGACGTTTCCCTTCTAAAAATATATCCTAAAGAAATGGATCAGAATGTACACAAAGACTTTACATATCCTTATAGCTAAGTCTTTGTTGGTTATAATGTAAACATAACAGCATAAATTTCCAACAGTAACAGATTGGTTAAACCATGCCCCACCAAAACAATTATTTATTTACTTATTACTTTTTGGTACCAGGGATCAAACTCAGGACCTTGAGCTTGTGAGGCAGTTGGTGGAACCACTGAGCTAAATCCCCAGCCCAAAAACTTTTTTTTTTTTTTTTTGTGGTACAGGGAATCAAACTCTGGCCCTTGCACTTGCAAAGTAGGCCATGGAACCACTGAGCCAAATCCCCAGCCCTCAAAACAGTTTTTTAAAACAGAGAAACTAGGGCCAGGGATTTAGCTCAGTGGTTCTGCCGCCTTACCTCCCAAGTGCTAGGATAGTGTGCCACTACACCCACCTATTGTTGTTTTTTAAGAGACAAGGTTTCACTATTTTGCCCAAGACAACCCCCGAAAAAAAAAAAAAAAAAAAAAAAAAAAAAGCTAGCCAGGTAGGAGTGAGAGATGACAGAGTGTGATTGGCAGGATTAACGAAAGGCCACAGTGTGTGTGAGGCAGGGGCAGGGGCTGGAGCAGGGCAGTGGGTGTGGACTGATGCAGCAGGATCCCAAAAAGGGAAGTCTGGAAGGAGGTAGGGGTACATCCCCATGTGGTCTCAGGCTGGGGAGGGTCTGTACAAATTGGGGTTTCCTCTAATAAAGTGGGAGGCCACGGATGAGTTCTTTCTGGGAGGTAAAGTGACCTGAATAGTATTTTAAGGGGGCGCTTCACTGGGTGTGGTGGCACACATCTATGATCTCAGCACTTGGAGGCTGAGGCAGGAAGACCACTGTGAGTTTGAGACCAGTCTGGGTGGGCTACACAGTGAGTTCAAGGCCAGCCTGAGCTACAGAGGCCTTGTCTCAAAATATAAATAGGGACTGGGATTTAGCTCAGTGACACTACACCTGCCTTGCAAGTACAAGGTCCTGAGTTTGATTCCCGGTACTGCAAAAAATAAAACAAAATGAGACAGAGACAGACACAGAGAGAAGGGAAGGAGGCAGAGTACAGGCCACACACTTGCACTTCAGCAAAGTCCCCAGATAAAGTTCCAGTTATCATGGAGAGAGGCTGAGAGGACCAAGCAAGATGATTTCCATCTCATTCCTGTCAGCCTGGCCCACAGCCAGTGGTGCTGGCCTGGAGTGTCTCACGGGTATTTCTTCCAAAGCCCAACACTCAGCCTATAGTATTGAATACCAGGTTTTGCAGTGTTCTTAATATGAGCTCCCTGAGGCCCGAAGACAAGGACCCAGGTGTCAGCAGCTCATTTGTAAGTGGGGAGAAGGCAGCCCGGAAAGGGGGTGCTGAGGTACCCCTGGGCTGCTAGGGCTGTCTGTGGGGAACCTGCGGTTGGGCTCCTTTCCCATGCCTCAGTGGTCCCCCAAAGGCAGGGAGCTGGGGTATCCTGTCCTCCCTCCTCCACCAGCCCCACACCTCTGAAGAAAGATCCCCACGCACAGGTACAGGTCCTAGCGCATGGAAGTCTCCAGCCCAGAGATGTGGGTCCTGATACCTGAGATGTAGCTCAGTGTTACCACAGCTGCCTGGCAAGTGCAAGGTCCTGAGTTTGATCCCTGATTCTGAAAAAAACGACCCAACACAAAACAAAACAAAAAAAACCCAACCCAACAAACAAAAACAGAAAAACAAGGCAGCCCATTGTACTCCCAAATGGAGTGTTCTCCGGGACACATAATGAAACAAGATACATTCTAGGCTCCCATTTGTACATAGAACGTATGCATATGTTTTTGTATTCACTCAGAGATGCTGATCCCTGGGGTGACACAGAGGAAATAGACATTACTGGCTGTGTTTGGAGATGGTCATGGGCCTCTAAGGAAGGAGGGAGCTAGACCTGCCTTCCACTGTGCTTTCTCTTTGCAACCTTTGTGCCTTTTGAGGAAGGTACCTGGTGTTTCTACCTATTTAACAATGCTATGGTCTGTAAGTTTGTGTCCATCTAGAATTAATACGTTAAT